GGAGGGACAGCAGTCTTCTCCAAGCCCCACCTGTCAGTACTACACAGCAAAGACACATGGGTGCTTCAGTAATACTGTTACACATTGCAAGCACCCTTCAGTGCTTCTGTTTGAGAACTTTTTATGAGTCCTGATTTCTCCTTTAAGAAACTCATAGCTCTTATATATTTTATTACACCTAATCTCACTTGTTTATTTAATTCATGTACTATCAGATCCTATGCTAGCTACAGATACAATTTAAATAAAATTAAGAAGAAAGAATGCATTCCAGAAGGTAGCATATCTCCTTTTTGTTATATTTATGAAACAAAAGACAAGCTTGAATGAACTAAACAAACATTTGCCTCAGATACTGAGATGCAGGGTAGACATGATCAAATAGCTCAAGAGATCATTATCAAGTTGGTAGGAGCCATTGAAACCTTGAGGCCCTAATGAGATTAGATTAGCAGAGATTAACCTATGTCCTTTAGCTGCTGGGACAATGAAATGGGGTCAACTTTGGAGACAATCTGGCTGTGACCCAACAATCCAACTCTGCCTGCCCCAAAGCTCTGAGAACTCATATAGAGACTTGTATGTGGATGTTCATAGGAGGATTATTCATGAAACGTGGAATAACCCAAATGTAAATCAAAGAATGAATGGATAAACAAGTCTGATGTATCAATATAATGAAATATTATGCATCCATAAAAAGGTCAATACATATATATCAAGGTCATTGTACTGTCATGTGTAACTAATTAAAACAAATAAAAAATACAAAAAAGAAAGAAATAAAAAGGTTATATAAATAGTTATAAAAATATGTTATATAAATATGTTATATAAATAGTGAAAGTTGAAAATATTCTGCTAATGTGAATAGACGCATAAGGTTGTACATTGGATGGTTCCACTTTTATGAAATGTCCAGAATAGGCAAATTCTTTGTGGCACTTCAAAGGAATAAACCCAAGGCTTTGCAAATGCTCAGATAGCACTCTACGACTGAACTATATCCCCAGCCCAATGGTATTTTTTAAACAATAGCTTAATCATTTAAATATAATTTAAATACCACAAAATTTATCATTTTAAAGTATACAAAACATTGGTTTTTATTACATTCACAAAGTTGGGCAACCATTACTACTACCTATTTCCAGAATACTTTAATCATTCTCAAAAGAAATGTCATACCCATTAGCAGTAACTTCCTATTCTCCCAGGCTCTGGCAATCATTACTCTACTGTCCATCTGCATGAGAACAGGTTTAGAATATGAATAATAAGACATTATTTCACCTTGAGTTTCCATGAATATCTATATAAAGATGTGATCAGCTTTCAGAATAGGCTGTTCTAATGGATGTGAATTTATTTAAACCTTCTACTTGCCATAGTGAAACCATTATTCTGCATAATTAATAGGCACCAATTAAAAAAGGAAAGCTTTTTAAAGTGCATATTAAATCAGTATTTCTGCTAATAGAAAGGACAAAAAGACAAATCTTCTACACGATGACATATGAATTGCAAAAGGTTGAGATATACAACACTAAGTAGTATTTTAGTAATAATGCTGGAACGCCTGGCATAGTGGTATATCCAGCAATTTGGGAGGGTGAAGCAGGAGGATTACAAGTTTGAGATTAGTCTGGGCAAATTAGTGACACCCTGTCTCAAAAAAATAAAGAAAGAGATGGGGGTGAGCTTGGTGATAGAGCAATCCTCAATCCAGTCCCTAGTACCATAGAGAACCAAAACAAAAGCCAAAAAGCAAAACAATCCCCCCCCCCCAAAAAAAAAAAAACCCTGGTATTATGATGATAGTGACAGCTACCAGGTATACTTACTGAGAACACACCATTGGCTGGTCCCTCACCTAAGCACCTGCGAGTCTAGAGAGGAGCCTTCTGACCTCCTGGGGGGGAATGTACTTTCCTCAAGAAGGAACAGCTAACAAAGGCCTCAAGATCAGTGTTTTGACTCCAGAATATCTTATAGATGTGGAGACAGGTAAGGGTCCAGCAGCCATTTCTTTCTTCTTTTTAAAAAGAAAATAAAAAAAAATAGGGGCTGGGAATGTGGCTCAAGAGGTAGCGCGCTTGCCTGGCATGCGTGCGGCTCGGGTTCGATCCTCAGCACCACATACAAACAAAGATGTTGGGTCCGCCGAAAACTGAAAAACAAATATTAAAAAAAAATTCTCTCTTTCTCTCTCTAAAAAAAATAATGGAATACATTTGTACATGTACATAAAATAATTTGGTCAATTTAATTCCCCATACCTTTATTTTCCTCCCTACCTCTCACCCCTGGTCCCCTTCCTATACTCAATTGGTCTCCCTTCTATTTTCATGAGATCCTCCCCCCCGCCTTTCCTTCTTCCTCTCTAGCTTGTACATATGAGAGAAAACATACAATCCTTAACTTTCTGAGTCTGGCTTATTTCACTTAAATAATGCTCTCTAGTTTCATCCATTTTCTTGAAAATGACATAATTCATTCGTCTTTATGTCTAGCCAGCCATTTTAAAGACGTTCATGACACTTTATGAGGCCCTGCCTATGGGTCATGAAAACATGTCCAGTTATATTGATATAACTGGACATATTATAACTCTGGCCAAGCAGTTATACTTTGGAAATTCTCTCCCAAAGAAAAAACATTATTTATGACCTCAGGGTATGCAAAGATTTCTTAAACAAGTATAAAAAGTACTGACCTTAAAGGAAAAGATTGATGAATTCGATAAATCAGTACTTCTGCTAATAGAAAGGACAAAAAGACAAGTCCCTATATAAGCCATATAAAAGGAATGATGGACTCATATTCTGAATATGAAAAGCTCAATACCCCAAAAGAAAAAAGGAGAAAAAAGACTTGTACAGAACTTCAAAGAGGAAATATAAATGGCCAATATGGAGTAAAATGTTCTTGGCCTCTATAGTGATAAAGAACTACAATTTAAACCACAAAGAACCTATCAGGCTGCAACAAAAACCAAAAACCAAAACACACACAAAAAAACAAAATACAAAGTCTGGGAAAAATACAAAGAAAAATAACCCCATCTAAATATACCAAATAATGAAAGGGAAGTAGAGTCGTGGGAACACTCTGCAACGCTAACAGGCACAGCAACTGGATTCCCATTTTGAGAGGAGAGTGTGGCACTATTTTAAGACCCTTACCCTCTGTATGCACACTTGTGCCCTAGGGGATACACAACATGGGCTCACGTATTGTCAGTTATGGCCAGAAGTGTGCATAAAATGGGAGGAAAATGAGCAGGAGCTACCTACAATAAATGAATGAATTTAACAAAGTTTATACACTTAACAGATCCAAGAAGTAAGCAGACCCCTTAGCTGGGGTTCTCTTGTGTGCAGCCAGTCAGAAGCATTGCTGGTAGGTGAAAGAAAAAAAAAAAAACAAAAACACGAAGATAGTACAACCATGATGCCATCTCTATAATGTTCAAAACTAGGCAAACTTAAACATATTTTTAAGGGCATATACAAAGTAGTAAAAGTGTACAGAATTACATGGAAAAATATCTTAGGATTGCAAAGATTGTTAGGGTGGGGTAGGGGAGTGGGAGAAATGCCAGGAGGGACAGGCGGAGGGTGGCTTCTGGACACTGGTCAGGTTTTGTTTCTTGAATTTGGTGGTGGCTTTATGTGTATGCTTTATTTACTCATTTATTATTCATTACACACTATAATTACATACGTATAGTCACACACACATATATATTGTTACATATATATCATATGTTTGCTATAGTTGATAGTAAAAAAAAGCTAAAATATAACCTAAGTAAGTAAAGGAGACTTAGACACACGAGTATGTGCTGCAGCATTGCTCTAGAATGGTAAAAACTGTAAATACTAAATGCCTACTGGGAGAGGGACACCTCATGAGAGGGATATCTTCCTAAGATTAAGTGGAAAAAGCAAGTTTTTTTGTTTATAGATAGGGTTACACCAATGGACAAAGGTGTGGAAGATTACTTATTGTGGTGAATATCCAGTGGGTAAAGGGTGAAAGGGAGATTATTAAATTTCCTTTATAGCAACATCAACAAAAGCAGTGGCTATGTTATTACCTCATTTCCAGATTATTATTTTTTAAGTATGTGTATATATATATATATATATATATATATACACACACACACACACACATACATGTGTGTGTGTGTGTAGTAGTTGGACACATTACCTTTATTTTATTTATTTATTTTTATGTAGTGCTGAGGATCGAACCCAACTCCTCGCATGTGCCAGGCGAGCACACTACCACTGAGCCACAAATCCAGCCCCTCATTTAAAGATTGTATGGAGCATCTACAACAGACGTGCTGGGACATGCTGGGACTCATTAAGTTGCTGGCCATAAGGAACAGCAGCCACTGATCTGCTTAGTCACGTCTGCTTGCAATTGATAAAGAGCTGTAAGGAGCATAGGCATGCTTAGGAATGACTGGTTACAACTGATAGGGAGCACAGCTCCATGGACATGTGCAAAGAACATGCCCAACTGCAATTATATCACCTCACTGGACATAACCAATGGACACTGACTTTCACTGGGTGTAACCAATTGCCAACATATATTGTTGAGAGCCACAGCCGAAGGGGCCCCAGCAAACTTCCAGCTGCCAGCAAACTTCCAGCTGCCGGCTGATGATTGGCTCACAGTGGCCCCAGCAACATCTAGCTGATTGGCTCCTCTGCGGTGATGCTCATTGGACTGTTTCCCTGCCCTTTCAGACCACGGAGCTGCTCATTGGGGGACTTTTTTGGCTCCGCCCACGTGACCCAGCCAATCGGCCTCAAGAGCAGGAGGATTGTGGGAGGTGGAGAGAAGCTTGTGTGGGAGAGAGAGGCTTGTGGAAAGCCGGTGGTGGCAGTTGAGGCTCTGAGGGTTTTTCCTGAGAGGCTGTTTTGTTTGGCGTGTGTGGTTCTAAAAATAAAGTTAGTTTCTTTTGACAAGTGGCGCCTGATTGTGCCCAGCCAGACTGCGGCAATATATCACCAACTTGGAACTGTATTTAAATTGCTGGTCCTGCCACATTGAAGAGTTTTTGCTCTAAGGACATCGGTGAGACTGGTCGCCTTGCTGACCATCCCTGGACTGACTCCACCATTCCTTGATGTCCAGCCATCGGCTGGAGAGAATCACCATACAAAGACAACGTCTATTCCTTGGCTAAGAGAAGTTGTGTGGCATTAGAGGTATTTTGGGGCTTGTGGTTGCCCTAGGACTGTATGATTTGCTTAGAGTGTTTAATTAGTGTGCATTGAATGCTAGTTGGGGTGTTCCCCCACACCCAACATTTTTTGAATTAATTGTTTATATTTGATGATTAGTGTGACTGAATATATGCTTGCATTTAAAAACAATCCACCTCCGAATAATTATTAATAGCGCCGCTCTTGACACAGATAACATTGAAAGACCCAATTTGAGGCTTTTTACAAATGTATGGCTCAGGTGTAAGGGCTTCATGACAACCCACTTGGTTGTTGGAGGTTCTAGGGAGAGAAGTAAGTTCTCTTTCTTTCTTTAAATGGTAATAAAAGTTACCTTTCTTAACTTATATTTTCATTAATAATGGTCTAAGTGAACTGAAAAAAATTTTTTAACTAAATGGAAAGCATGTAATTATTTACTATGGACCTGACCATCTTCCTGGTAACTCAGAATGATTCTAGTATAGAGAGCTTATTGCTGTTGGAAACAATGGAAAACACCAAGAATATAAATTAATATCAACATCAATGACAAGAAATAATCAGATTTCTGTTTAAGGGCCAGGAATTATAACTATAAAATAAATTGAAAATTTAAAGAAATGAATTCTCCTAAAACTGGAAAAAATTAAATGTCAGGTATAATACTCAAAACACAGGCTTTGGAATTTGATGGTCTTGGTTCAAGGCCCAGCTCACAAACATAAAGTCAAATTATTTAACCTCAGAGAGCTTCAAGGTTTTTATCTAAAAAATGAATAACATTACCCAACTTGCCAGCTAGTTTGAAGGTTAAATGAAACAGTGACTAGTGACATACAAATTCTTCTTTCCAATTTCAGCATCTTGTTAAGAGATATTGTATCAGCAAATTATAAAGATTTGAGTATTCTATTTAAAAATTAAAATTTATTAATTCTCCAAATTTGAGAACAGAGCTAATAAAATCATATTTAAAATAAGTATTTAGATTTCATATTTGAGATTAACAAAGGAATATTTCAATGCTTCTTTGGAATCATATGGCTAGCCAGTGTTCCCTGATCATAACCTTAGGCTATTGACCTGAGAGAAATAAAAAACAAATCTATACTGAATATGTAAAATATTTATATGAGCAATTAATTCTAAACAGTTGTTTTCAAACTGTGTTGCTGGAGTCCTAAGATTTGGGTGGGAAGGCTATAGTGGCTTGACCTATCTACCTCCCAGTTTCAAACAGAAAAGAACAAACAACTCTACATGCTTTTACTGTACCAGTAGTGAGCTTCCTCTTTAGAGTTCTATTAGAAGAAAAAGAAAGTAACTCTGAGAGTTTTAAAACTATTAATCTCATACTGGTAGATAATTAGGATTTATTTATTTATTTATTTTTGGTGGAGAAAAGGAGTAGGTTTCTAAGAGAAGAATAAAAAAGAATTAAAAAACTGCCAATTTACTGAATTAATTGTGCTACAGAGTAAATTTACTGACTTATTATGCTAAAGGATGAATTAACTAGCTAAATTACTAATCTGGAGGGAAAGATGGTATTTGTTTTTAATGTCTTGTATCAACTGACCTTCTTTCTGTTTTTTTTTTTTTTTTAAATTCCTGTTTCAAGTAAATCTCTCTGTACTTTTAATTCCAACAACTTCATTATCTATTCTTTCTCAGTATTATCAGGTAATTTAAAAGTCATAATGACTTTCAACTGGATTTATTTTCTGCCTTGAAAAAAACAGTACCCTTCTAAACTCCATTATTCTTCTAAATTATTATTTTTAAATTTTTAATCAATTAGTTAATCAATGAACTTTTTGTGGTACTGGAGATTTAATCCAGGTATATTCCACCTCTGAGCTATACTCTATACTTTTTATTTTTATTTTGAGATTGGGGTGTGTGTGTTTAATGAAGTTGCTGAGGCTGGCCTTGAATTTGCCATCCTCCTGCCTCACCTTCCCAAGTGGCTGGGATTATAGGTAAGCTCTATCATGCCTAGCTCTAAATTATTCTTGATTATCTTTCTTTTTACATTTTGTTTATAGGAAAGCACAGTGGCATCCCCTCACAGGGATATTCTTTTATTTTTGGTGCTGGGAATTGAACCTAGGCCTGCTCTAACACTGAACTGTATCCCCAGCCCTTTTTACTTTTTGAGACAGGGTCTCATTAAGTTGCCCTGGCTAGCCCTAAACTTGGGATCCTCTTGCCTCAGTTTCCTCAATAGTTGGGATTACAGGCATACATCACTGTGCTGGGCTCCTGGAAGTTTCTGTCATTTAATAGGCAAGTCTCCTTCATAAGCTTGGCACACATATTCAAATAATTTAGAGTTAACTTAGTCTCACTTTGTCCCTTGGTTACATGAGAGTAGGTCGGAGAGTGAGAGGAAGAGCAAAGCCATTTTTGAGAATACTTCTAAAAAATTTGTACCTTATGGCTAGGAAAAAGATTTTTTTTTAACAGTTTGTTTTGGTTTAGATTTCATCATTTATAAATTAGATTTATATTGAACACTATACTAACTGCTATGGAAGACACAAATTAAAAATAACATTTTGACGCTTCAATCAATCTATTTTTGTTCAAAAGACACTGGGCAAATAACCTGACTAGGAGAAAGAGTAAGCTTATTCTACCCTGATGCTCTTCCCAGAGCCTCTACCTAGAAACTCTTATGAACCCATGTATCTCACCCAAAGGCCTCCCCTTTGGTGAAGCCTCCCCTAATTGACCAAAGCAGATGAGGGGACACACTCTCACCCCCTGCAGCAAAAGTATTAAAAACCTGCTGCTCTCTAGAATAGAATTGCTTTGAGGACTGAAACTGACCTCATCCCAGTGTCCTTGATAAATAAATGAACAAGTAAAGAGAGCAACAAATAAAAGACTGTACGCAAAGCAGAACTTCTTTTATCTAATTGGCAATAATGTGAATTTATTTTTGTTTAATAGCATTAAGTATAGCTGAAAAGTTTTGAATGTTAAACTTCAGTAGCTGAAGGGAAGGTGGCTGGGTCAGTACTTGGCAATGGTTACCTATATTGTTTAATGCTTACCCTAAATTGTTCAAATAGAGTCTTTCAGGTGGCTTGTGGTTCTCACCCATCTTCCTTCCTATGATCAACCATGTGGGTGTTCCAAGCCTTGTTGTAGTCTGTTGTTTTCCCTTTGTATATGTTAATCAAAATCTTGATTTTTAACTTTCATTTATATTGAAAGCAGAATAGATAGAGGTAAAATCAGCTGTCTTATCTTAAAGAGCTTTTTTTGAAAGATAAAGGTGATGGACTGATTTAGAGGGTGCCCATGTTAGTAAATAAATTCTTGCCCTTATTTCCCCACAACAGCATTAATAGCTAATAATGGTTAATAATGATTGACATTTCCTTTTTGAGTTTCTACTTCCTATGTTGTGTCTTTTTGAAATATGTGGAATACACCCAGAAGTTCCATTTAGAAACTATTCTCCAAATGTTTCTTATGAAACACTGATAGTCATATTAATAATTCAGTGTAAGTACTTTCTAGGCAATTGGTTCATTTTACTTCTTTCAAAAGTGAGGCAATACTCATATAACATTAAATTAACCACTTTAAAATGTACAATTCAACGTGCATATATCACCTCAATTCAATTCCAGAATACTGTCATTACTCTCAAAGTAGAATCTATTTGTCCTTCCCACAGCTCACAGCAACAACTGATCTGCTGAGAAGATTTTTGTGTATTTGCCTGTTCTGGATATTTATACAAATGGAACCAGACAATATGTGATCTTTTGTGTCTGGCTTCTTTCACTTTTTTCAAGGTTCAGCCATGTTCTTTGTTAGTTACTTCAGTTTAGACTTAATAAAACCTCCTTTATGGCTACTTCATGTCTTCTTTAGAGGATGCTGCCTTTCTTTTGATTCTCTTTCTGTATTTACTCAGGGGTGATGTTCTGGGGACAATAACCAGTTTGGTTTAATTGTACTCCTTTGAATTTTACCACCATTGGTATATTTCATATTCTTCTGACCTAGGCATGTAAATTGCTCCTCCTTTTTTTCCCTTAATCCATTAGAGTTCATTTAGCAGTTGATGAAAATGAAGAAATTAAAGCTTGGCTTTATAATGTTGCTCAGGTTACTACATTTCTAGACATTCCTTTCTTATCCCAGTGAGAAAATAGGTCTTTGCAAATTAAACTTTTCCTGATATCTTCATTGTTCTTATTGTAAAATATGTTGCATCTCAGGATTGCTCCTTTGCATGAGTGTATCCCTGGTGGTCTCTCTGCAAGCAGGAGCAGCACTGAGATCTTGGGACTGCAGCTTGGTCAAGCCTGAGGTATCTGAAGCCCATTTCGGTGGGATAGAGACTGGATTTGCTAGGGCTGATCTGGGTGTTTGGTGATCCTGAGAGACTTCAGAGAAAGAGCTGAGAAACTGTTGAACATTGACAGAGACAGTTTGACTTCCCAGCAAGATTTATCTTATTTTTTGATTTGCTAATCTCTCTACCATATTTGGAACAGGATGTATTTTATGCACCAGTGTGTGGAGGACAATGATATATGAATGATGTTTTGCATTTTTGTTGTATTCTTATGTCTTTAATTTTCTCTCTTTGTTCATATTCTTCCTTTCTTTTGTCTATTTTCTTGGATTTTCTTTCCAACATTTCTCCAATCAACAGCCAATCTCTGTTGGTTCCTCTTCTACTCTTCCTGTGAATTTTTACTTCTAGCTTCTCTCTTCCTCCCTCATGAATATCGTATACTACACCATCTCTGTTCTCCCATCCACTATTTGAAATTGTAAACCGTTTTAACAAAGGTTTTGTTTGTATATAAATAGTTATTGAACTCATCATTTTGGTTTAATACAAAAATGCAGTATACGCCTTAGTGGGAACTATTAGATTTAAGGGTATATATTGTGTACACTGAGTGCTGTTGATATTAGTCTCACTAGTAAAGGCAAAGTGCTGGAAACCTTCAGGGACACTATAG